GCTAAATCTACTCAAAAATAACATAGTAGAATTGACTGCCCCCAAAACCCCAAATAACTAAAAAACACTTAAGTTTAACAAAAAATAAGCAAGCAAATAAAATGGTAATTAAAGTATACGTAGAACCAGTTGTTGAAGATATTCACCATGATGATATGGAGATGGTAGAAACAGAAAACAAGCCCAATCTTAACATCAGAGTAAAAAACACTGATACATTAGATGAATACAGAGGCTAAGCATATTTAAATACAGCTTTCAATGAGAAGATGAACAGGTGGATCAAGAAGGGCAAATATCAGTGTAAAATGTTCAATAACAATGCAGAGCTAGAGTTAAGAGTTGAGATTTTTAAGTTCATGCTTAAAAAGGTACCCAAGACTGAAGTAGAGCTGTTAAAGCAGGAATTGTGTATGATGAGAAAGGAAAATCAAAGAATTAAGGGAGAATAAAAGCTGTTCAGATACTATTTCTTGAACATGTGGAAAGACAGAAGCAGACAATTCTTTTATGACAAGCCAGAAATGAGAATGGAACTTCTTGAATCTAGCCAAAATCTTTACGATCAAAGTGAAGCCACTGGAGTTATAATGGAGGAGTTTGGATCTAAAGGATACTACTTAAATTTCGTATCATAAAAGGTTCATGGACTCGAACAATTATAGCAAAGCATGTGTAACTTTGCAGGCACTCCTGGTGGAGCTAATCAATCTACAACTCTCGGTGGTCCTTCAACAACACTAGGAGGCGGCACTGCTACTGGCCCAGCTAGCTACATGAACAAAGGTAAAGATTTGATTAGCAACTTATGTGAGCTTGGTGAGCAAAGCATTAATGGTGGAAGATATGTTGAAGTATTTATTCTAGGAGGAGCTTATCAATATCAGAAAGCATGCTTAGACATTTAAAAGCTATTCAATTCCGAAACAGGAGATGTTTTCTCTTTAGTCCAAATTAACTTACCAATAGAAGATGCAGCTACTTATACAGTATTCATTCCTAAGAGACTCGCAAATTGATAAAAACTAAATTTATTTATGTCTATAAAAAACTTTAACTCATGACTATTCATTTTATATACTTGGGGTTTTGGGGTTTTGGGG